GGTCCATCTCAGGTAGAAGGTTCCATAGGAACAATTCTATATTTCAGATTTCAGGGTACCTCATTCCTGAAAAGAAAAAGAGGAAGTATGGGTAAAAATCGCAAGAAGATATTGGGACATCAATTTGAAAGAGATGACATGAGCAGGGGTTCATTTTGGTCATGTTACTAGGAAATGGAATCCTAAAATGGCACCTTATATCTTTGGAAAGTATAAAGGCATTCTTATTACAAATCTTACTAGAACTGCTTGTTCTTTATCAGAAGCCTGCAATTTAATTTTTGATGTAGCAAGTAGAGGATAGCACTTCTTAAGAGTAGATACAAAAGATAAAGCAGCCAATTCAGTAGCATCAGCTGCGGCTCGTTGTCATTAGGTCAATAACATCAGGGAGGAACAAAAGGTGGGTTGGTTTAATCATTTCCCAAAAAGAGATGTGGCAATATTGAAGAGACAAATATCTCACTTGCAGACATATATGGGAGGGATCAAATATATGATGGGGTTACCCAATATTGTAATCATTGCTGATCACCAAGAAAAATATATGGCTATTAGAGAATGCCTCACTTTGGGTACTTCAACGATTTGTTTAATCGATACAGATTGTGATTTGAATCTCACAAATGTTTCGATTCCAACCAACGATGATGCTATAGCTTCAATCCAATTGATTCTTAACAAATTAGTATTGGCAATTCATGAGAGTCATTATAGCTATCTAGGAAGTCATTGATTAAAAATAAGATAAGTCAAATATAATAAGATAAGTCAATTATTTCGATAAATCAAGGATTATTGAATCAGTTACTATTCCTAAATTTGGAAAAAGAGATTCAAATCAATAGTCATGATATCTGATTACTTCTTATTAGGTATCCGGAATATACTATACGATTAAAGTAAATTCAAAGCAAAGTCAAAGCCAAAGTAGGAGAGTTGAGAAAGAGATGATTGAATCAAAATAATTCCTTCTTAAGTTTCATTTCTGTAAGGGGGTAATATGAATGTTCTACCATATTCCATCAACACACGAAAAGGGATATACGATCTATCCGGTGTGGAAGTAGGCCAACATTTCTATTGGAAATTGGGGGTGTCCAAGTCCATGCCCTAGTAGTTAAAACTTCTTGGGTCATAATTACTATCTTATTAAGTTTAGCCACTATAGTTGTTCAGAATCTGGAAACCATTCCGACCGACAATCAGAATTTCTTCGAATATGTGCTTGAATTCATTCGAGACTTGACCAAAACTCAGATTGGAGAAGAAGAATATGGTCCTTGGGTTCCCTTTATTGGAACTATGTTCCTATTTATTTTTATTTCTAACTGGTGGAACTATGTTCCTATTTATTTTTATTTCTAACTGGTCAGGCGTTCTTTTACCTCGGACTATCTATACTGTGTAATTTTCTATTTCCCACTTCGCACCAAACCAAATTAGATAGATTCTGATATAAGCTCTTCGTGTGACTGTAGATTGAATGAAGAAACAAATCAGATAAAATCAATCAAATCATATGCATATAAAGGAGAAAGAGCGAAGAATTGAAAGAAATGTTCGGGAACAGAACAAAGAAATAAGAACTAGAACCAAATGGATTTCCATATGACAGTAATATTATTACTTCAATTCAGAGTTCGTAGTTACTTCTATCATATATATCTTAGTGATGGAATAATTAGCAATAAAATAATTAATTAGTTGATCATATCATTAAGCATTTCCTAATTTTGGTATCAAGAGCGTACCACGAATCCCTTGATTTCTGCTACTGGATTGGCCGTAGGACTTGCTCCTATTGGACCCGGAGTCGGTCAATATACTGCTGCGAGTTAAGCTGTAGAGGGTATCGCGAGACAACTAGAAACAGAGGGTAAAATACAAGGTACTTTATTACTAGCCTGGCTTTTATGGAAGCTTTAACAATTTATGGACTGGTCGTGACATTAACGCTTTTGTTTGCGAATCCCTTTGTTTAATTCTATAAATACATAATATATCTATTACCCTGGCCTTGCCACTTCTTGGAATTATATCAACACTTCACTTCTACAATAAATTATTCATTTTGAGACAATCTTCCCTGGGATAAGGACTGATTCGAGGAATTAGTCGAGTCGCCCATTCTCTTCCTTCCCGCTCTTAGACCAAAGGAAACATCTTTTTGGAGTGTTGCAGCGCGCGAGGTATTTCCAAAATGATACGAGATCGGGGACCTGACCTAACCTAATAAAATATTTTATCGCGAACTTAAATTAAATAAAAATAAGATATGGAATGAAGTGATACAAAAAGAACTCCGTTTGGTTTTGTTAGTCCTATCTAGAAGAGGACAATATATGAAAAATGTAACCGACTCTGTCGTTTCCTTGGGCCACTGTCCATCTTCCCGAAGTTTTGGATTTAATACCGATATTTTTGTAACAAATTCAATAAATCTAAGTGTGTTTCTTTGGTGTGTTGATTTTTTTCGGAAAGGGGGTGTATGCGAGTTGTTTCTTTCAAGAACAGGTTGGATCCTACCAGCTGCACTTTACTCATTCTCATTTATATTAGATTTCTAGATTTTATTTCTTTACTATACTATAACTATAACATATAAAAGAAAAAGAAAACTGTAAAATAAAAGAAAATCTATAAAATCTTATTTTCATATAGATTTTTTTTTTACATTTTACATAATTAATTCTAAATTAGATTAGAATTCATTTCTTAATTTGTATTAATTTTTAGAATTTAAGTAATTTATTTTATTTATTTCTTATTTTATTTGTATTTGTATTTGAATCCATTTTATTTTTCAACTGATTTTCCTTTATCTTTTATTTGATCTTTTACTTTTCTATTTTATTTATAAATTTCTATTATATTTTAGATTGATATTCTATCATTTTATATTTGTAGATTATTTCTAAACTAAAATTATAGAATTATAGAATAATTCTCAAATTAGAAAAATAAAAATGAAATAAAATAGAATTAAAAGTACAATTAAAGTTTAAATTCATCTAAAATATGTAAAATAAAAATATAGAAAAGTGGATTGAAAGACCGCAACGGACTTACTATGTCTGTTGCGATAGCATGTCTGTGGCGGTCTTTTTTCACGCGAAAAAAGGCAGGAAACTGCCACAACTCCCGTAGATCTATAGCGATTTTTAAGGTAAAACCACCATGGACATAACATATCCGTGTATGTCCATGACGGGGTAAAACACTATTCAATTTCGCCTATAGCCATTTTTAGGAGTTTTCTATATATATATATATGAAATTTTTTTTAAAACATTTTTCATAAATATGCCAACATTTTTTTTAACTATTTTTTCTTTTGAGCCAAACAACATGTTTTTTAGTGTTTTAATGAAAATATAGCACTTTTTCCCCAAAATTTCAAAAATATGCATATTAAAATGGTTATAAAGAGTGGCAATATTTTAAAACAAAATGTGTTTTTAACACAGACTTGCTAGTTATGATGAGAACCATCTACCTATCACGTCCCCACCCCCTGACCCCTACCGTACTTGTCGGAGGTGGCAAACGCCACTTAAGTGGAGTAGCTCAACGCATTTAGAAATGTGGGATCAAAACAAGCCACGAAAGAAAAAAAAAAAAAAACTACATTCACCAAGCTCCACAAAACTGAGCAGAATATAAAACCATAAAGATTATAT